TATCTTCACAGTTTCTGTCTGGTTGTGCTATGAGTCTATGACTATATATCCATGCGGGCCAAATTATATAAAATTTTAAAATATTGGCTATAAATCCCCCATAAATTAAACCAAAATTGTTGAAAAAACAATGAGATAAAAAAAAATAACAGCCAAAGAGGAGTTCAACGTATTTTCTCCTCTCGTTCTAGCCACATCAACCAAATCAAGTCGCGGATAAAATCGCTTAACAAACTACACTTTTTAGTTTTTACTTTTTACAATGCCATCTTTAAAGTTATTTGAACTGTATCCGACCTTTTGTATCCATGGATACCATCAAATTCCGTTTGAAGAAATGGAAGTATTTGAGTTGGAAAAAAAAAGAGCCATAGTAATTAATACTTAAAGACTAATTGGTGTTGTATAAACATTAATTTGAACGTTCGGGTTTTTTTTTTTTAAACATCCAACCGGCGTTCCAAGTGACAATTTCGACATTATTCATTTTGTACAAGATTGAAGATTTTACGGTTTCAAATGTTTTAATCGAGTTGGACAAAATTATTTTCCGCAAAGGTGATTGATATACGGTTCCTGATTGGTAATCTATGTGTTATTTATTTTTCTGTTAGACTAGTAATTGAATAGAAATTTTTGTTCTTTCCGATCCGATGATAACCACATAAACTTTTTGATATAATGGAAACGAAGACAAGACGCAGTCTCAAATTCTCATGTTTTGAAACAAATATATACATTAATTGTTTAAGAAGAAAATTGAAGGTTGTTACTTGTTAAGCCACATAGTTCCATTCTAAACCAATAGGTGTGAGATACATCATAATCAACAGTATATAGTTTAGGTTTTATTCTTGTCTCTACATTGAATTCTTGGACCTACTACTAATGAAGACAGCATCCAAGTGGGTTAAGCACAGCTGCACAGCAGTTAACATTTATCATAGTTTCTGATTTTTTGTCCACACTACATTACTTTTTTGTTGGGCTAGTTACTACTAGTATTTTTTTATGTATAGATAAATTACATGCATAATTTTGTAACACTTTGCCATTGATCTCATCGTTGTAGATGAAGTTATTTTGATCTTATCGTTAACATGTGATCTTTGTCTTTGTCAGCACTTAGCAAACATAAATAATATCAACCCCATGTATGTAATGATGTATATTTATTGGATCTCCTCTTTCAACCTTGAGTCAACGGTACATTTGCAAATGGCCTCCACGTTGGCCACAATGGCCATAATAGACTGTCACCAAGATAACTTACTTTTGATTGGCATTTTCCGCTAAGATTTTAATTAGTATGTTTGTTTTTGCATTGTGGTATAGTACTGTACAGTTTTAAAGCATAAGAGAGTATCATGAAAAATGTATAAACAACCACAAATTTATATTTTTCCTTAGATTTTTACAAAATTCATGGTCGGCCCCAAAAATAGCGGAGAGGTTTGGAGACAGCTAGAGTAAACGTGATAGAGAGATTTGGCAGTTGTTTAAGAGTTTGTTTAATTGTTTAATTGTTTAAAGAGTTTTAGAAGGAAGTGAAAGAAGTAATAATGGAGACATTTATGGCTTTGACGTTATTTGAAACATAACTCATGTGCCCCCATGTGCTTTACTGCTG